ATATACAACATACCAAGTAAAAACATCTTGAATCAATTCACGAAAAAAGAACATCTTGATTTGGTCAAATTCCACTTTCTTGTCATCCTAACCAGAGAGTAAGTTGCTATTGCTGATCAAACTATCAGATTGTTAGAGTTGCCTTTTGACTTCTCTTTCTGTCTGAAGATAGTTCAGGAACACAATGCAGTCAAAAAGGATTCCAAACCAGCCTTAACTTCCCATTACATGTAATCAAGTGACATGTTTGAATGCGTTTCTTCCCATTACCTTCTATTAGTTAAATCAAACTATTTTCTGCACTATGTCAATTTATTTTGTTATAATTTCAACAAATTAATATTTGCTATTAGTTATAATAGTGTTTTGAAAAGGATGAATAACGCCCATTCTGGAAGTGACGCAAAATTCAAGTTTCAGTTTGAATATTCTTCTGTTTCCGTCAAGTCACATAAGCTGAAAGAATCACCTTTCAGATTCACGTGGTTAGCCAATACCATTTATCCTTGACATAAACCTTAACATAGAAATGATTCTGATGTGCCACAAGGGAAGATGAAAAGCTTATGGACCAGTTACCAGGGATGCAATCTCACTTGCCTTTCAAAATCATCAGGGTAGCCATATATCATTTCGCGGCTGAAAAGGGATAAGCACTGTAATGGCTCTATCAAAGTGACTCCAATGCCACGAACAACACTATCACATATTCAGGTAAGTATAAACCATTAGCAGATTTTAAACACGTGTAAGGTGGCCTCTATCTCTGACTTCTTTCACAAGCTACTAACATCCAGTTGTATGAAAACTCATGATCATATTAAAAAAATGCCAAACTAACCCAGTCCAAGCTCTGTTTCCAAGTACTTGACCATTAAAATATGAATAAGCCTCAGCCTTAACTTCATGCAGCCCTTGCACTTCATCTAGATTCAAACAAGCATACCTGTGTGAAAGTTAATACAGTCAAGGTGAGGTATCAGAAACATCAGGTTGTAATCAGACTCATATTAGAGCAAATGACAAAAAAAAGCTTTTGAACAAAGAAAAAAATTTATCTAGAATATGCGCAAAATTTTCAGCAGGCATCTAAGAAATTTTAAAGAATCAAGGAACAAAAAAATGACTTCTCTTTTTTACTTCGGCAATATGACTTCCACCAGATGACCCTTCCTTTGCAGAGCACAAGATATGCCAGTCACGTATGATGCTATAGATCCTCTGGAGACTAATGGTGCCATTTCCGTGCAAATGTGAACAATATGAAAAGCATTCCTGAAGAAATTGACCAAACAAAAAATAACAATCAGATTCTAAGAATCTTTATGAAAAGGGAAAGTGGGGAAAAAATAAGAAAAGAATACCTATGGCCAAAACAAATTCTTGCAGTAGTAATTTTAAATTATTAAGACAACATAACTAATCATATGATACTTCAGAAGACTTTCCCAAATAAGCCACCAAATGATGGAAGAAAAATTCCCAAACATGTCTAGACATGAATTCAGTATCATATCATACTCTAGGCTTTATATAGTAGTCACATTCTTTTGTTATGTTTTAAGGTTCAGATATTCTTGCTTGATGTTTCTCAGTGATTTGCATGAAAGGTATGCCAGTTTAACATGAAATGGATGGCAATTTTGCAATAAGCTTCAGCAAGTTTGACATATCAATATATACTTTATAATATCATTAGTTATGGGGATAACATTAAAGAATGAAGCTAGTAAACATTAGATTTACTTTCTGCTGCTGTCTGAGAATTGACGAAGTTCTTCCAAAAGCTCAGAGTCTCTTCTTCCAGGGATGTCAGTAAAAATATCAGCCACACTCAATTTGTGCTTTATCACCAACCTTCTCAATTCAGATGCCTCTCCAGGAGAAATCATGTTGGTTAAAACCATTGAATCAATCCGAAGCAGCAACTCCCAACAAATTGACAGGTTGTCTGTGTTGGCAAAACGTATAGTGCAACTAATCAACTAGTGAAAAAGTAAAGACTGCTTAACTAAGAAAAATACATTACTTATCTCATCAAATTGTTTGTAAATATGAACAATACAAAGGCTCTTGCAACCTACTTTATATATAATAGTTTATCAGCAATACATATACTGCATTTAAGATGGATGATATTGCATTATCAAAAGAGGAAAGACAAATGCAAGAGCATACACATGCCCCAACCATTCCCTCAAGCACACAAAATCAAGTTGTCCCTCAAGCACCGGATTATTTCTTTGCCAAACCAGATCCCTAGGGATGGCTGATATGGGTTTTTTGCCAGGTTGGGGTTTTGGAATTTGATCTCTCTGACCTATAGTTATGGAGAGATTTACTTTATTCAGGCCAGCTACTTGAGTATATGCTTTGGATTTTAAACTGAAAAACTAGCATACTTGTGAATGTTACTAATTCATCATTGTTCAATGGAACCAACTAATTGTAAAATTGCGAGATAGCATGAGTGTCAGCAAAAAAGAAAATGTTAAAGAAACAAATAATATGTATCGGTCTATTCATCAATGATACATGACAAGGTAAAAGCACAGCCGCAAAATATCACCTTTTCCAGAACCAGCATGCTTTTCTGCTTCCAATTTCTCTAACATGTTGAGCAGCAACAGCTTTTCTGTGTTAGTTTTGTTAAGTTCCTCTGTGGCTGCAAGGCGTTGTTTGTTTAAGTACAGAATGTCTGTGTATACAAGAAAACTCATCAAAGTTAGAAAACACTTCAATATAACGCACCAGTAACACAAAGGTGGATTCCCCACGCACACCCCCCACCCATAAAAAGGGGGGGAAGGAAGAATGGAAAGACACCGACAAGAATTATTAATGGAAAATCAAATTAAGCCTGGGAAAGAACTGACTTTGCTGAGCTTCTCTGAACAACTTCCAAATATGATGGTGTTTCGCATCCTGATCATCTTCAGTTAGCTAAAATATTGGGAGGAAATACGCAATGAGTAACTTGTTAAGTAAGGGAAGACGCAAGAGATGTGTAAACTACACCATATCGTAGGCAAGACCATATACCTGCATCTTAACCACGTTATTTGTGCCTTGAAAACTGAGATGCATGTCGATTAAAAATTAGAAGAGGACTAGTCCCAGTAGTATCGGCTAAAATATAAAACAAAAATGTTATATTATTGGATAAATGTTAAAGAAAGCAAAACTCTTACCGTTGTTCACCTTGGCGATTGTCATCTCCATTACTTCTGAAAAATATTACATGAATAACAGGCCAAGTGAATTCACCCACTATCAATCCATTATTTCTATTTAATATACCTTCAATCAATGACAAGTTGAATTTCACCCAGTATCAATAATCAATGCAAAAATGATGACCTATGAGCCACACATATCAAGCTTCAAAATTGCATTATAACAAGTCAAGCTTTTAGTAAATAACAAGAGATTTTAGATCAAAACCATCGCTCTGTCATGTACCAGTATGTTGCATTACGACCACACCACACTCAACTTTTCCCAGAAAAACACAACCAACACCAATGCTTCTAACTTCAAATTCATATTGTTAAGGAGAGAAACAAACATGCTAAAATGAGATGGTTGTGAGCTTGAAGTCTGATTACTCAGCTTTCAAGCAACATTCGAAGGGTAGCACAATTCAAGGGTCTCACCTCAAACAACGTAGTGGCAGACCAGCAATGGGTTTTCGGAACGAGGTGCTGGTCCTTCTGGTTCTAGACGTTGGAATGCAACGAAGTGAAGGAACCCCGGTCCCTGCGTTTACCAATGTCCCCATTTATTGTCTTCATACACAGAGATAGAGAGGAAAAGAACGAGGAAGCTGCACTGGTATGACTTTCCCGCTCGGGATCACTAGTCTCATGACGATATAGCTATGGCATCCATATCCACGATACCAGTATTAATTATTAATGGTAATATCTTCACAAAAAAAGAAAAATAAAAACAAATTGCCTTCATCACGGAAAAGGGACTGTATTCTGCACATGTAGCAGTAGCAGCAACGGGGCAAAATTCCAGGGGGAATTTCCATATTTTTCGGTAAAGATGAAAATTTTCTATACAGTAGCTTCGCTCCATGGCAAGCGCTTACTGGAGGTTTCTTCTGCAAGTTTAATGATTATCCGTCCATATCACCATTGACATGAGCCGTGGATTTTTGTTTTAGTGTCAACAACTCACTCACAGACTAGTTGAATTATATGTTTTCTTAGACTTTAAGTAAAAAAAAAAAATAGTGGAAATTAAAAGTGGAACGAGAAACGTGCGTGAAAGAATCATGGGATTCTCACCTGCTCAAGAAGAATGATAGAAATCAGAAGCTAATAAACATTGCGGACTTGAAGAATAACAACAATGGAATAACTATCATAAAATGGTAAGTTTAAAATTTAAATATTCTGCGCCAAAAAATAAAATAAAATTCATAAAATAGTTTGAAGTAAAAATAAAAAATTGATTACGGTAAAAGATATCTGTAATTATAGTCATAATTCATATCCATATTAAAGAACATTTTTCCAAATAATTAAAAAGAGAAAGTAAAATATGACTTCATCTTTTCGAACAATGTGAAAAACACTTAATCTTGCTTGAATAACTTGAAGGTTCAAATTTTATGAATAAAAAAAATCATTAAAAAACACCTCCAATTTAATGTAATAACTAATAACGATGCTTGAATCTTTCACTAAATTACCAAATACTCGACACTTGTAGAAGGAAAAAAGTGGCTTTATTTTTTAGGTTAATTTACATGATCCTAAAAATTCATTTAGATTCAAAATTAATTCGATATGAAAATTGTAACTGGCATAGATTTTCCTGAAAGATAAGTTATCGAGGAAATTTAGTTCATGTCGTTGTCCGTTTTCTTTTGTGGGCATGAATGCCGTTGATAAAACGAAATGTTACCATTTGAACGTCATTCGCCTGTTTAAGTAAACACATTTCACCGGCAGTTTTGAATTTAGCCCATCATTTGCATTCGAACATTTATAACAAACTCAGCTTCATTCCACAACATTCTTTTTCTGTTAATCCTTCCAGGATGCCCAGTAATTTTAAGCCACAATTCGTCTGCCCACAGAACATGTGCTTATTGCATGATAATTATGGAAGAGTAGGAAGTCTGCCCACCATTTAAAAGTTGTTACTCCTACAATCCTGACTAATACTATTGGGACCTTACTAGCAATGGTGAATTCTCGGCAGCTTCTGCATACAAATCAACCTAAGAACCCCTTTGGAAGTGAAGCACCACAGCCATGGAGTTTGATCTGGAAATGGCCTGGGGTGCCTAGAGTCAATACTTTCCTTTGGTTATCTGAGAAGAACCGCCTGCTCACTAATGCTGAACGAGTTCGACAAGGCTTACCATCAAATGCCTCGTGAAGCTTGCAACAAAGCTGTTGAAGATGTGGACCACGTCCCGTATAGATGTAACACAGCCAGACTTTGTTGCATAATGCTAGTCCCACAGCATGCAGCCTCTTACCTTCTTCAGCAAGCCTTTTGAGGAGTGGTTACATTGGAACCTCAAACCACGCATCATGAGGACTCATTGGAGACTCAGCTTCAGTGTTGTGGCATGGAAACTTTGGACCAACATGAATAAAGAGAACACTTACCGATGAAATCATCACTCCCCATTGTATTGTTAGATCCGCCTATAACTTAGTTTATTATGATGTTAAAGCCCATGGGATCCTTCAATCTCTGGACCATGAGGCTTAGCGTGTTTCTTTTATAAACACTTGTTCCGCTTGTATATTTTGTCAATATAATTCCCTTTTCACTCAAAATAAATTAAAGGGTTTACGGTAGAATTGGAAGATTGGAAAGGTAGCCAATGGTGTTGTAATCTAATGACATGTAAACTCTCATATAAGTAAGAGGTCATAGGTTTGATCTTGTTACTTCAAGCCATAAGTGCCTGCCCCTCTAATTCAAAGAAGGAGAAGAAGGCTCTTATAAGTTGCCACAGTGATCATCTTTAATCATCCCCACCTTTAGGCTTAGACGTGGTGGATGATGAAAGTTAATCTTTGGATCCTTGCCTTATAAATTGTTTGGTTACCATTTGCTCTGAATGAAGTTTTCAGTCTTCAGTCAAAAAAATATCGCAACATGCATGCATCCCCTGCGCCTACACAGGGACGTCTTTCCCACCTAGATCAAAAGAATTATTAGAACAAGGGGAGCGGATTTTTTTTTCCCCCTGGGTAACAAGGGGCAACAGATTTCTACTCAATTGGAAGAATTGATTAAATACCATTCGAACGGGCATTAAGGAGGAATGTCTCTAATTATACGGATTACAAATGGGGAAGTCAAGGGAAGATATGGTGTTAATGATTGGCAAGCTTACGCTTCTTTAACTTGGCAATTCGACTTCTCCGTTCTCTTTCTTCCTCCTCCTCTATCAATCGGAGTTGCTCTTCATCCTCCCTCCTAGCAATTTTGGCACTGTGGATATCACCAAAAAGAAATATAGATCAACCACCAGAAAAATCCATGATTACCGAGGACAGCAAGCCAGAAATTAGAAATACAAAGGTGATCGATCCATAACTTTGCAAGGTTCTTTATATTATGGTCGCATTTGGTAGATGGCAAAGTGAATTTTTGTAGAAAAAGGTTTCCTATGTTATGAGAGAGCTTTTTCATTCCTATTTTATACCAAACACATGTTGCGGTAGGTCTTAAAGTGAGAGCAAATGGAGCAGTAAATATCAACTTAATGATTAAAGAAACATACCTCCTTCTTTCCTCCCTCATGATGTCATCAAAGCCTGCCTCCATGTTCATATCATCCTCGTCATCATCAGCAAATTTGTTGGGGTTGTAGCTGCAAAATATTCAGCAAATTTATTAGAAAAAGTGACTAGATTTGCAGCAGAATGACCATCATCACACTGAAATTGAGAGCACTTCCAACCAGACATCAAACACCAGGAACACACCCTAGTAAAAATACTTTGATTACAATGACTCTCCTTTAAGGAAAAAACATGTAAAAAGATCAGTGAATGTAGACTGGAATTTTAAAGTTTCAGCTAAAGTCATCAGCAGACTAAAAGGTGAAAAAACGTCGGTTCAAAAAGAAAACAATGAATGAACAAAAGAACACAGCCTAACCCAGAAATCCTTTGACATCTACAAGTATGTTATCCATCACAACCAAGGGCTATCCACCAACTCCCAAATACTAATCACACAATCCACCAAGAAAGATCTGTAATAATTTGGTTCCATCCAGATTTATCAAAAACATTGCAAGGAAATCGAGGATAATAGCAAGTTGATTAAAAACTGGCAACACTTACTGAAACATTCTTCTGATCATGCTAATAGCCCTTTGACCCTCATCGTCGTCATCGTCATCAAAGGGCCGTCTTACAGGCTTCTTCTTGGGGCGTTGATCTTGGATTGGACGTTGTGTTGTAACCTGTGTAGGTGGCTTTGATTTCTGTCGGGGAAAAAAAATGTAAGAAAATAGTCTTCAATAAGAAGCTAAAATTACATGTACATGAACAAGCACACAGCATCACAAACCTGAGGAATAGAAGGTGCCACCGGCTGTCTGGGCATCATTTTAGGCTTTTCCCTAGCATCTTTTCTTTGTTCCACACTCTGCTTTGAAATAGATGAATGAGTTTTTGAAACGGGTGGTTTCTGAACAGCATTTACATGGCCTTTTATACCAGTCACCAAAGACTTATTGCTCATGGTACCAACAGGTGCCTTTGGAGGCAAGCTTTTCAGTCCCACAGGCCGGCCAGGTCCATTCACACTGTTGTTTCCAAGCTGTTTTCTTGAATCTGCTGATGCCATACTAGGCTTACTGCAAGAAGCTAACTTATTACCGGACCCCACTTTAGGAAGTAATTGGCCACCTGCAGAACCTAGTTTTCTGTCCTCACGACCACCATTAACATGCTTGCCACCACTGCTTAAAGGCTGCTTATTCCTTCCTTGTACTTGAGCTGGCCGTGCATCTTCAAGATCAGCAAAAAACCTGTATAAGTTTTCTCAATCATAATAATATGTTTACACCCCCAACAAACATCCCATACAAACATGATCCCAAGCAGCATTGTACCAGAACATCTGAGAGGCATATTCCTGGGTGGAGGCTCTTTTGAAGGAGCTGGAAGCTCTGCATCATCAGACAAAAGAAAGGAATAATCTCTTGTATCCTTAATTTTCTGTGCTTTAAGCTTCACCTGCATACAGAGGAATTGACCACCATCACTTAGCTATCCTAGATGCTAGTTTATATTAGAGCAATTTCAAAATAATAGCTTCAATACCTCACTGACTTTGGGTAGCTGATTATGAACTGCAGATTTTGATCCCCCATTGGATACTTTGTTTTTGTTTTTGTTCTGTAGACAAAATCATAGTTAGAATACTGACGCACCACATAATATGAAGCTAGAAATATATTAAAAAACATTTAGGTTTTGCATATGTTGCCATCAATAAAGTGGATCGTGATAGGCATGAGGTGACAAAACTTATGATAACAACAATTTGGAAATGATACAAGAAACTCTGCACTATATACACCTATTTTGCCTAGGTATACAGGTGATGACTTCCCATATTTAATAACATTTGGGGTATTTTTGGGAGTACCTGGGGAGCCAAAACTACAATTTCATGTGCTTGATTAATTTTATAAAGAAAATAAATCATTGACATTTAGTGTATTGCTCGTAAAAAATTGAACAATTGCTGAAAATCATGGTTTAATTCATACATTTTTTTCACTAGTCTTTATGGTATTTGTGGGAAATAGTAAAGCGTCCAAAGCAAAAAGAAAGATGTCCAGGACAGAAAAAATAAGTTAAACTGTATTTGGTGCCAAGACCGTGTCTTGTGAAGCCACAAAGCCTGTGGCTAATTTTTTCCAGAGAAATGCTTTCTGGTGCCATGGCCACAGCATTGGCATTGCAGCTTAGCTGAAAATCCTAAAGGGAATTAGCATTGGCGCTGTAACAGTAGCACTTGTTCAATGGCTGCTGTTCTCCCTTCCCTTCCTCTTTCCCTAATCAATACCCACCCAAGAGACAACGTGCCATTTACCATGAGAACAAGATGGCCAACATACCACAGGGATCAATTCATGAATATGCCCAACAGAAATGAGTACAATGCATAGAAGTAATTACAATAGATTGAAATTTGAAGCAATCATGTAAGAAATAAATATAATGACAAAACTAGGCTCTGTGTTCTTACAATATGAAGTGGGTTAGAAAGCCTAGATGCCAAATGCTGGTTTTCTAACAGTGACTTGCTCTCTTGGATGACTCTTTGCGCAATAACAGGTTGAGAAGGACCAAAAAATGACCCATAACTGCAAACAATTTAAAAACCAAGAAAAAAAGGAGAGAGAGAAATACTCCAGTAAGTAATTAATTCATCTGGTAACAGCCAAATCCCAGGTGAACATGAACAATATGAATGATGAGCGTAATGTACAAAAAATTTGCATTCAACTACGAAAAAAGGGGGGGAACTTATAGCCAAACACAAGAAATAACATAATAACAAATATCAAGTATAGAAGAGTAAAAAGTGAAAGTCAAACAGCAAAGCATGCTTAAAGCTCCTAATCACAGAAACATCACTTATAAACATAAATGAGGTAGAGGACATATCTACAGATTTATCTTCCAAAGCCAAAAGTTTTATTACAGAGAAAAGAAAGTGCAAATAAATGGAGGGCAAGATTATTAAGATATCCTTAAAACAGATAGACAAGACAATATGAACACAAAACAAAGCAACATATGTTCTAGAAACTTTGGGTAGAAGGCCGCCCAATCTGTATAGAAACAAAGAAATGCACACCAGATAGCTAAGACTTGGGGGAGAGCAAAAAGAAAGTAGCCTTCTGATGGAAAGACACAAATCTTCCAAACGAGGCAAATGATAGAGACTAATGAGAGAATATCCCAAGAACAACCGACTGTGTAAAACTTACCATTACAATTAGAAAGTAGTAACGACCAGATGCTGCTCTGAAATTAAACCCTTGAATGAAAGATGCAGTCAACATAAATATTTACAAATGATCCAAAATCACTGGTGATTACAAGGCGACTCATGGTTGGGATTCATTGAAGCTTACATGTGGTACAAGGTCTTAATCTCAATAAATCACCATGAAGTATATCATTTAATTAAGAAAACATCAAATTTGCAAGTATGCCACAGGATGTGTATAATACTTCACAATGTTGCACAAGACGGCCAACTAATTCCCTACAATGTCACACTGGCAGAAGAAACCCCCACAAATGATTTACCAAGGACTAAATTACAACTTTCATTTTACAAAAGAATTGGCCTCAAAAGTTACAGCCCTAAAGGAGCCAGATGATATAACACCACTTTTGCGTCAGGTAGTTAATACTTCAGATTGAAAGCTGTGTAAATGTTCTTCACAGCCAAATAGTTTATACAAACACCTTTTCTATCATAACTAAGTTTATACACTACACCCCAAAAGACCTAATATCCATTTGGTCATTCAAGAGAACCTCACGCAAATGCAAAAGAGAATAAATATCAAAATTCAATACAAAAGCATAACACATGATAATGCGATGGATGTCACAAAGGAAGCATTAAAACAACCTGATCAATATCCTTTGAAAACAAAATCAAAGATAAGGAATTAATAAGCAATGAAAACTCGTTGTAAGAGGTGCAATACTCACTTATCGTAAGGAAGCTTTTTCTTCCTTTCACTTGAACCGGCATGCGATGTACTACTCTCCTTCTTCATCTGTTTTCTAATCGATTCTTTCAATTTCTGCCTCAATTCAAGGTACTCCAGTTCTTCCTTTGTCGGTTTAGGAGGTTGTTCCTCTTCATATTCCTCCTCCCCCTCCTCTTCATATTCATATTCTTGCTCTTGTCCCTCATCATCATAATCATCATAATCTTCATAACCCTACAGAAAGGGAATAGGAGGAATAATGAGGCCCAAAACTAGTCACACACAAGATTAATGAACGTGAGAAGGAGACAAACCAAGCAACGGGAAGGGGAAATGAAGAAAAAAGCTAACAAGCAAGGGACATTTTCTCCCTAAAGCTGAGACTGCTTACGTCTCTGTCATATTCCTGCATTGCTGCCTGAAGAAGAAATAGACAGCCACCAATTACAACTATCTAGAGTCTCGAGCCGCAAATCAAAGAAACTTGATAGAAGGCCTGCTTTGTCGATACCAGAATACAATGCAAAATAAGGTTAGGAACGAAGCTGAATTTCTGCCCACTATAACTGACAGTGTGTATTGAGAGAGACGAGAGACCAAAAAATGGAATAATTCCCACGACAAACTGGCTAAAATCTTCTCAGGAAAAAAGAAGTGGTTCATAGGGTGAACAATTCGCTAGCATTGAACAAAAATTTATAAACTTGTTTATTCCCTGAATTGCCATTCACGCGAAGATCTAAATGGTATACAAATGCTTGAGCAGTAAGACCCACGAGCAGAACCGCTCATGTTCATCGGATGCAGTTGAATCGACTCAAATTTTGGGGCAAAATCTCCAGAGAACAAGAATATATGAACAATAGCAACGAGCACGAGATGAAGTGATCAATTTAACCAATTTAACAAATCCAATAATACTGGGAAAACAAAAGGCAAGAAAGAATCAGAGAAAGCTTACCGCGATCTCCTTCCCAGCAGGAAGTCGTCGATTAGGGCAGAAGAAAGAACGATGATTGAGACCAAACGGCCTTTTATTTTCGTTATTCGGGAAATTTCATTTAATCCGCTGCCACCGTTATGCAATCCATGGACCTATCGTGGATCCGACCGTACCCGCCCGACCCGGACCATTATTTTTATATTATATACATATTAATTAAAATCAATATATTAAATTATAATTGTAGTTATAATATGTAATACTTTCCTAATATATATTTCTATGATTTTTATAATATTTAATTTTTAATAATTTCCTAATCTTTCAAAAATTTGAATTCTTGCTAAAAAAAATTCCATACTTCGAAGTCACTTTATAATTTTGCATTGAATTTATTAAATCCTTTGCATATTATTTTTCATGTTAAAATTTTATTTCATTTTTCCTCACCTTTTTTATTTTTATTAGATTCAATGAATTTATATTCATATATTTGTTTAAAATGTAATTAACACTTTTCTTGTTCTCCTTGCATCTTTTACTTTTCTTATTTTTTAATTTTTTTTTTTCAAAAATGACAATGCTCCATGTTTATATGGATTTTTGGCGCTTTTATCTCAAATTATTTCTTTAATTTTTCTTTTTTTCCTAATCTTTAATTTTTCATTGGATTAAAGCATTACAATACTTATTTAGTTTTATAATTTATTGAATGATCGTGTATTTTTTAAAACTAACTTTATTAGATGTTATATGAGAATTTGAGTAAATATATATATTTATCTCATTTAGGTCCTGTTCAGTTTGTTGGAATTGTGCCCTTGAAATTGGAAATGAAAATGGAATTAAAAAAAAAAGTTAGTTTGGTATGGCAAAAATCAATTACATATGGAAAGGAAGTCCACCAAAATGGGTGGAATTGAATTCCATTAAAAATACTCAGTTTTAAAATTTTATCATCCTTTTTTTCTATTTTCTCCTCCCCCCCCTCTCTCTTTCCCTTACTCAACCTTCCATCAATTTCTTAGCCCATAACAACCAGTCAGCAACCTTGAACTCTGTCAACAGTGACCTCTAGCTTTGAGACAGTGACCGCAAGCGACCTCTGATGGTAGCAAGCTCCAATAATGGTAAAAATTGATGATGACTTGTCCTCTACCAACAACAGTAACCTTTGATTTTATGGCTAAAAGTCAAAGGCAACTTCGAATCCAACCTTCAATTTGCTGAAACTAAGACTCAGAGCAAAAGAGAGGTCGAGAGAGGGACTGCTTTGATCTAGGTTGAATCTGGATCTCTGTCTCCCTCGCAATCTTCCCCTCCTCTCAATCTTTGCCTTTGATTTATTGATTGTTGTAGAGCGAAAGTGTTGAATTTGGATCTCCCTCTCCCTCTTGAACTTTGTCTTCAATTTCTTGAATATGGATTTGTTGTTTAAATGCTAGTTTTTGTTGATTGTTCATGATTGAATCTGGATTATAGATTGTTAATTGTTCTTTGGTAGTGGTTCTTTCAGTAGCAATGTGGAGAAGGGTAGCTGTGTTGGTCTAGGGTTTTTTTAGTAAGGGTATTTTAGTCTTTCAATATTAGGAATATATATATTTTTGATTAAAATTATATCAGAATTCTATGAACATACGAAACATATATTTAAAGCCTATATCCATTTATATTTACATATCCATTTCCATTTTTATATCCACTTTCATTTCCATCAAAATCATTTCTATCGTATCAAACGAGGCATTAGGTGATAAGATTGTTAACTTCAACATTATTGCGTATTAGATTAGATTAGCATTTGAGTAAAATACTAATTCAAAAAAAGAAAAAAAAAACTGAGTAAGTATATCATTTTGGAAGGTCGCAAAATTATTGACACCTATCATTTTATTATCTATTTGTCTATTATCTATCTACCAATCCATAAAAGTACATTACCACTTAGTGATTTAAGAAAAAAATTCTTGAAATCTTGTAATTTGGAGAGCGTTTCTTGCAGTAATATACTTACAGATACAAGTAAGATTTTTCAAGATATAGATATTGGATATAATTCTAGGTCTATAATAGAGTATACTTATCCTGTGTAATGACCCTAATAGAGGATACATATCCATATAGTTTTTTATTCAAAAAATAATAATAATTCTACTAGGTTTATAATAGAGTATACATATCCATATTACAATGGCCCTGCTTTTTGGAAAATAAAATTTAATTAATATTCTAAAAATAAGGAGAATGAAAAAAAAACTCTTAAAATATGCAAAAAAAAAAAAAACTCTTATGAAATTGTGATAATTATTTTATGGTCCATGGGAACTTTTCTAGCATTTTGATTTATTGCGAAATGACATATTACCTCCAACAACTAAAAATCAATAACAAGTTAAGATTGAGAAATGACTACTTAATTTGAGAAAATGATTATAATGAAATAGAAAATGTCAAGTACCTCTCTAGAATTTATTTGTATGTGAAATCCAGCTATTATTTTGTGACAAGTTAATATTGAGAAACAATTAACTTGTGTGAAGAAATGATTAAAATGGAATAACAAATGACAAGTGCTTCTTTGGAATTTTATTTATCAATAAAATCTAACAACTAAAAATTAGTGATAAGCTAAAATTGGAAAATGACTACTTATTTGAGAAAATAACAAACAAAATAGTGAAACATTATGAAGTTTTGCCATGTTTCATTTATTTTTATAAGGGTAAAAAAGTATTTTCACCTTAAAATTAAATGACAATCAAGGCTCAAGAATTATAAAATAATTATTTCATTTCACTGTATGGTTGAGAAATTTGGAGGGTGATGAGCCAAACCTTTTTTCCCTTATTCCCTCTCCTCTGAATTGATTTTTTTTTTTTTTAGGGGAGCTAAATCCTTTGAATAACTTGCACTCGTTCATTTTCTTACTTTTCATATTTTTTTGTTTTTTGTTTTTTCATTTTTGTTGTTTGCCTGTTCTTTATTTCTGGTTTCATTCTTGTTTGCTTTGTTATGTTTATTATATTTATTCTAACTAAGGCCAATCACTTGGTCACTTGGTATGTTTGGATTAATGAAAATTTATAGTTGAATTTTAAGTAAAACTAAATCTTTAATTTCGATACACAGAAATTTAGGAATTTGTTTCAAATTATAATTTATTTGTAATTTTAAATTCTTTCTACACCCTATTCATTTAAAATTCTAATAAGTATAATTTATTATTCTCTTCACATTTTTACTATTGAAATCTCTTTTTATTATCATATCTTTTCTCATACGTTATTGATTAAAAAATATAAATAAATTTATTATTTTTAATTTTTATTTTGAATCCCAATTCATCTCTTTTACTCACTTAAAATTTTATAAACTACCTAAATAAAATATTTTAAATATTTGGATTTTAAATATGAGATTTAACATGCAATATTTCAAAATCTAAAATTTAAATATAAATCTATCAATACAAACGCTACCTTAAGTATATATGGTTAAATACATGATCTTACTTGTTTTTAATTAAATCAAGATATTTTATAAATTATTTATTTTATAACAAATTTTTATTATTAATATTATTAACACATTAAAATTCACATGTATTGATTTGATTAGATAAATAATATATTAAATATGCAATGCTAATTATATAGTCTTACCCATCAATTAGTTATCAATCAACAAATCCAAAATAATATTAACATGTACATTCTTCTAAAAATTTGATACACATGTTAGCAATACGTAGAGATGAGGCTGAATGTTTATAAATTATATGAAATTTGAATCAAAGTATAAATATAAATTAATTTATATGAGATAGAATTAAAAAAATAAAACTTATTATCAAATAAAAAATCCTTGATAACCTTTCCCCACTCCTAACACCACCAAATAAACAAATCAAGGCAACGTTAAGAAAACACTCCCCTTTTTTTCCCTCTGCCCATGCCCTCTCTTTCTTGTCCAGCAACATGAAATTGTAATTGAAGAAGTGAAAATAAAAATAAAATAAGAAAATTAGTATAATAGATCTCATTTTCTAAAAAGAATCTGATTCCATTCCATCAACTGGAACTCACCTTATGAAACTCACGTTGCTAAAATATAACCTACTTTTTTATACCCTTTCTTGTTCAAAACAAAATTAATTTTTAAGAAAAAGTTGCATGGCAACAGTGTCCTCGTCATCAAACAAATATATTTTATTTTCTCTTTTTATTTCTATCCTGTAGTCTCAATTATCAATATATTTTATGATAGGTATAAGATAAATTTACACAATAATCTAAATTAATGGATATAATGGGTAAAATGGAAAAAAATTTATATATACTAAATTGTTTATATTTAAAATTCAGATTAATAGAGAGAAAATGCTTATATTTTTTATTGGAGAGGAGTGCATCCAAACATGTTTTAAATCCCAATTTTTACCACACTTTTTCTTCCACTTTTACTTCCAATCTCATCAAAAACTATAAAATGCTACTAAATTAGGTGTAACATCTTGGATTTTAATACCTGAATTAATTAAATAAATTAAGGAATTTTGATGAATATTGAGTGCTGTTTAATTTAATGACAATTAGTGATGGCTAACGAGCTTATTGATTATAAGTATAGCTTTTGAATAAGGATAAGGTCTACAAATGTTTTGGGCCACCTGGGTCTAAAATGGAAGAGTAATTGGATTAGAGTAACACCCTTAATTTTAATCACACTTTTCACGCCAAAAAAATTTAATAAAAACTTAACATTTCCAACACATTTCCAAAAACTTGCCAACAATAAAGCAATGGGGATCCCTCATAATATAACAGCTAGGCTAGGGCATTTGAAGCCCATAAATTATTCCATAACAAGCCTAGTATTAAAATGATTGAAAAATCATAAAGTCCAAATCTAGCACCCATTTACTGAAAAATACTAATTATATGTAAAGAGGACTCAATCCAACTTGTCAACAATTTCCCAATCATTCAAAAATTCAAACTCTTTTTTTTTCCAAAAAATCATGTGCATTGAGCATACACTCATCAATCATCTTAGAGTATAAGTGTCACACCCCGATACTAAGAGTATAA